GGAGCCGTCTTAAGTGAATGGACAAGGGACCCTGTAATTTTGAACTTTTTCGCAAAGAAAAAAAATAAATACAAGAAATACTATAGTACATAGTAGTGCACAAGAGGTAAAAGATATAGAAAAAACGAAAAAGACCGCAGTATTCTATGCATTCATCCAAGACGTTGAATGCATGTTGTTGAAGGATGCATGTTTTATTAAGCACAAAACTATGTTTGTAGAATGTGTCAATGCCGTTGTGAATAGCATACCCTTCCCGTGCGGATGCGTTTACATTGGTCAGACAGGGTGGTGTGTAAACTACAGACTGAGCGAGCATCAAACTTCCCTCCGTGGTATTGTAACCTTGCCACACTTGGCCATGCACTGCTGGGGCTGCGAATGCACTTAAGAGTTTTCGAGAACGAGGGCTCTCTTCCGCCACCGGGACCAGCTTACAAGGGACTATTTGAAGCCCACAAAGTTCCGAAGGCAAGGTAAAACTGCGTCTGCGAACCGTCAAAGGCTATTCATGATAATGAAATATCATTTTTAGATTATTACCACAGTAACGTTGTTAGGGCAAGATGCCTCGTGCTTGCACAGCAGTGTTTTTCTTGTGTTTTTTTTTCTTGCGTGAGCATGCGCGAATGAATGTATGTTTGATGTCCATTCAATAAATTTCTCAGTTGAAAGTCAGGGCTCGTCTAGTGTTTCTCCTTTACTGATATATATATATATATATATATATATATATATATATATATATATATATATATATATATATATATATAAATTTCATTGAACGAGGGTCTCGTACTGGCAGACTTGGTGTGTTTAGGTTGTATAAGAGGGACAATTAATCAGCTGCCCGCTCATATTAAGTTCACGTGCTACGTGACGCCAAACATGCGCATAAGAGTGTTTTCACACTCGTTGTTTGGCTTATAGATGGTGCTGACTGTCGCTCCTACTTCTAAATTCACAGATAAACCCAAAAAAGTGGATGGAGGGAGGGCCGCTGTGATAGCTCAGTGGTTAGAGCATCGAACGCGTAATTCGAAGGTCGTAGGTTCGATTCCTGCTCACAGTTGGTAAATTTTTCATCCACTTTTCTTTCTTCTTATTTATATTCCATTGATTTTAATAACTTCCCCTGTACATTCCTTGGCATTACTGTCTGTTATATCTCATATATATATATATATATATATATATATATATATATATATATATATATATATATATATATATATATATATACGCTGTTTACCCCGACCAGCTACACTGCTCGCAACACAGTGCATATTAGAAGCGTCGAACCTGGGTGCAGGAAGCAGAAAGAGCGCATACGTTATTTTTTTTTTAATTCATGTCGATGATATAGCGGGGCCTGCACTTGAAGGTTGATAAAATGCGCTCCTTACGAGCGCCCATGCAAGTCGAGTGCAATTTCTAAGGCGAATCATGCTTCCTATTTACACGACATACGTGCCGCATCGACAAAGCGTGTGTAGCCGGCCGGTGCTGAAAGACGCGCCCAGTGGGCGTGATAAACCGATAGTGTACGTTACACTTATACTTACACGGGGAAACACACAACCTGAAGAAGGTTGCCAACCGCCACTAAGTTGGCATGTTGTTTTCTGCACCAGAGGAACTTGTGCTCGTGAATTTCGAGCGGCGAAGAGCGCGGCAGCCTGTGTATAGCAAGAAGCACGCCAAACCGATGGTGCAATGCGATGTAGGAGTGGTATACGAGGTTCCGTATTTTCGTGCGGCTATTCTTACGTGGGCCACACAGGCCGCGGCATGAACGACCGTTTACGGGAACACCAGCCGTCAATCACAAATAAAGAAATGGGTAATTAACCTGCCCACTGCGCAGCCTGTGGATGTGAAGCACTATTTCGGCAGACTGAGATACTAAGTCATAGCAGAAACACTTGTGCTCGTGAGGTTTTGGAAGTGTTTTTCGTTAACACGAAAAGTGATAGGTGTGTAGGTGAAGCCTCGATATCGATCTACGGTGCAGAAATGTCTTTTTTGATCAATAAGGTGCGGTATACTCTGGCGCGTCGGCGCAGCTATGTTCAGTTTCCCTATTTAATCGACGATTTCCCTATTTAACCCATGAAAACAGTCGGTAGTTTGCGCTCGACTTGTTTAAGTGTTCCTTCTTTGTGGTGTGTTTTTCTTTACTTGCGCAAATTTTTCCTTTCATGCACGTTAAAGACTTAAGGACACATATGAATTTCTGGAGCTCTCCACTACGGCGTTTCTAATAATCGTATTGTGGTTTTGAGAAGTGAACCGTTCGACAAATATACATGCATGTTAGTGGGAAAAAAAGGTGGTTGATTGATTTGATTTGTGGGGTTTAACGTCCCGAAACCACCATATGATTATGAGAGACGCCGTAGAGCGGGTATGTGCCATAGGGGTTGCGAGGTGGGATTTACAGTGAAACGCAGTTTCATAGTTCCAACTGTTACAGTAAATGTTGATGACAATAAAATACATCTTTCACGAAATGTGAGCTATAGCTCACATTTCGTGAGGGCTCCGGAAATTTTGACCACCAGGGGTTCTTTAACGTGCACCCAAATCTGAGCACACGGGCTTACGACATTTCCGCCTCCATCGAAAATGCAGCCGCCGCAGCCGGGATTTGAACCCTCGAACTGCGGGTCAGCAGCCGAGTACCTTAGCCACTAGACCACCGCGGCGGGGCGAAAAAAAAAAAAGGTGGTACACTTCGCAAGAACTGTTCATTGGTCGGCGTTTCGACCGGAGACCGATCTTCATCAAGACTAACTTCTGGCGTTTTGTATTGCCAGTAATTTGCAGACCGCTGACGTGACAGCGTGTAAATTTAACAAGCTAACCGCAAGATCTCGGCAATTTTCGTGAAAGACGTTTCCTGTGGCCCGCCGTGACTTAGCGGCTACAGTGTTGCGCTGCGGAGTTTCAGGTCGCCGGTTCGAATACTGGCTGCTGCGGCCAGATTACGATGGGCGGGGTATGGAAGATGACTCGTGTACTTTTCGTTTTCAATCGTGATTCTTTTCTTAGCGTACTGAAGATGACCTTTACATAGTTAAAGCTCAGTCACTATTGAGGAGCAAAAACGCCAGAACGGGCTGAAAACGGCGCCTGCGCGCGTCAAAAACGTCCGCATTTGGCCTGCCGCCGTCATCGACACGTCTACCGACAACATCAGTTCATGAAGTGAACGCACGCTAATGCGCTTGTCTTCTGTGTATTTTTTAACGAATTAAACCTAAGCATGCCGAACGGGAAGGAAATGTTCTCACCTTTTGAAGCTGCGGGTAGTCGGACTTGGCCTGACTGTCCCAACGGGGTAGCAGCGCGCTTGGTCGTGCACACAAAGTTCTGTATCCATCGAGCCATCCACCCGTCCTTTCGGCGTTGCTCAGAAGAAGCTACAGACACGCCGGCAGCGGTGGTATAGTTGATCCACCCGGCTGTGAAAAAACAAGAACAAAAAACTAGATGTTTTGGGGCACGCCGACTCGCCGCTGCTGCTGCACGATCTGATGCGTATAGTGTGACACTTATGTGACTTTGTGGTACTTATGCGCACGATTCACAGCTATGTGACTATGGCGATCAGCTCGGAAAGATGCAGGGATGTTAGACAGCATGCGCAGATGCTCAAAGCGTTTGTCGGACAGTGCCAGTGACAACTGCATTATACATGTCTCAGAGCATGCGCAAAATCCGTACCTGTCACTTGCGTGCATATCTTTACCTTTTCGCTTCGTTCATCACGATCTCGTGGAAGTGACTCGTGAGGCGAAGGCGTGTGCGTTCCCAGGTTTCCGAAACTACACCAGTGTTGGAAGCTAGCGCTCCCTGTGTGTCCACACGTGCCTACATCTGTCCTGTCTGTTGTTTGCGCTACAAAACATTCTACCTAACTTTATTCTCCTTAAAGACTTCGCAGAGAGGTATTACATTAATGGGTTAGGGTTTGAAAATAATAGCTACATACAAAGTAGTGGTTGAATACATTTACAAGATAGTGGCTACATTACATGTACAGGATAGTGGCTATAGTACATTTATTGAGACATGCCAAACTTTTGTTCTTGTTTTTTTTTTGAAAATGAGGATAAGCAGGCGGTTTCGGCAATATGTCAGGGCAGGTCGTTCCACTCAGCTGATTATCGACAAAAGAAAATGTTAATTAAATCGGGGCCTTCAGAAGCGCGTTCTCGCAGAGAACTTTGGGCTTCGTCTTGGCAGCAAGCGGCAGTTTGCAATTGCACCAATTAGATCTCACCGCACTTTCTTTGTCGCCATTTTGAGTACGTGACCAGGGGTTTACATCACGCCGTTTAGATGTCAGTGCAGCCAGACTATAGCGCTTCCTGTGAGGCGGAAAAGGCGAAAACAATCGGTCTCGGACCGAGTTTTACGGATAGGGCTCGCCACGTGGTTTTCCGGCAGCAGAAACGGCAAACGCGAGCGGATTTCTGGTTAGCCTTAGTGGCGTCAGCCCCGTTCGAGGCTAAGTGCGAATGTGTCTTGAGTATTGTACGTGAATATCTGCAAGTTATACGACACGACTATCGCGGCTTTGTTGCTCAGTGTTACGTGATGAAAGGTACGTGTTACATCGATTGCGCGATCTAATTGCTCAGAAACTAAAAAGCGTTGCAGAGGAATGTGCAGTTCAGGGGACCAACCTTCTGGGCAGGGCGTCAATCCCTTACTTCAGGACGATTTCACAAGAAGAAACGATAGACATGGCAACAGATAAGACACATCCAGCGCACTCGTACTGAACTAATGTGAATGCAGTTCCTTGTGAACGTATAATTTCATCGTGAGCAAACTTTGCGTTGTACTTATGTATTTATTTGCACTGTGCAGGAGGCTATAACGCCCCGAGATCGTCGGCTGTGGGTCGAATCCGAAGCTCCACAAGAGCCGGAGACCAGCTCAATGAAATAACTTGAACTAGCGCTTGTGCACTAACCGCAGGCAGTGCAATGAAGGGTGACAAGACGACGTCCCAGAAGCAAGCGGGCCGAAGCAAACCGGCGGGTGCTCGCGAAAGGTGTTCGGTGCGTCATGATGATGGCGCCTTGCGGTCGACTTCGTCGGTGTCTTCAAACCGCATCTCGGTCGTTGCGACAAAGGTTGGAGTTCCCGGGGGTGAAACGTCGTTTCCGACAACGACCCTTTCGCTAGGGGGCGGCGCTCACGGAAGGTCTACAGACACGACTGGTGACGATGCCTTGCCGTCGGTGACTTCGTCTGCGTCCCGTGCCCATGACCCGACCGGTGCGGCAACAGGTAGAGTTCCGGGAGACCGTGCGAAGAGGGCGTCTTCACGCCCGTCATCCGCGAGTGCTAGCTGCAGAGCAGAAACCCGCAGGAAGTCTGCACTCTGTTCGACAAGCGACATCGCGTTACCTTCCATGTCGTCCGCCGAGACAAGCAGCGATGACAAGTCTGCTATTCCCACTGGACGTCTTGCGGAACTGGCGGCCGTGGGCGACGGAACTACGTCAGAGGCCAGCGCGAGCGACGCTGCTTGTCGCACGAACTGCCCCAAGAGGGCCGCGCGCAGGCCGTCTCGCTATGATGACGGGTGCTCGCCTTTCTTCAAGCAGCGAAAGTACAAAGGCCGCGCGTCGTCTGCCCCACAAAAGGATCCCGTCGCTTCTGAAGACGACTTGAAAATGCAATGGTGTCGGGACTGTGGCAAGAGGTTGATACCTTCGGAAGTTGTGATGTTTAAAGTGAGTAGCGCACGTCCTGGCTGAAGCGCGGGAACCCTTAGCACATGAGCAGGGCAAAATATTGGCTATGGCTTGCTCCGGCGTCGCAGAAACAGCTACATTGGAGCACCAACATGGCGCAACGCGAACTTTGGGATGTCATGAACGTGTTATCAGTACACGACATGCTTGTATTTGTGCTATTCATATACTGAGCTGACATAACTTTCCAGTGACGTTGTTATCTCATTGAAGCTGCCCAATCGCCGCGTACTATATATATTGCCTTGACGTCACTTTAGCTGCCATGTTGGAGCCATATTGTGCGTCCGTGACGTCCGGGCAAGCTATCAGTTGATAAGTTTACGTCACTGTCATTGACGCCATCACTTCAGGCTGTAAAAAGAATTTATTCTTATTTTGATAATCGGGGCATGAATTAAGGTAACCAACCGAAAACTTCCTAATGCAACAGTCTTCGTGCGTAGGCTTGTGTCTTACCACTATTCGTTTAGTTAAACAGAACCCCAGATTGAGCATGGCGGAACCAAAACCCATCCGTAAAATATATTCTGTGCTGTTCGAACTCCTGTTTCCATAACAGACCGCCTGGGTGTGCTTTTTGACAGCTACGCATCTGTTCTAAACGTGTAACTTGTGGGACGCCAATTACGGGCATTCTCAGTCAACAATTATTTAAACTACGTCGGTAGTCTTCTTAAGTATTTACGTAGGCAGTAGTTTATTGCAACAGAATGCTGCGTTAACACACTTTGTCAGTATACTACGGTATAATGGAAATGGATGGTTTTTAATTATAAAACATTACATGCATACGTCTATATATGAAATTTCGAATGCATTACACATTAAATAGTACTAGAATTAGAATGACCATCCATATCTGTCTATAATGTTCCATTCGTTCCTTTGGGGTGATTTTTGCACTTGTTCATCTGAGCAATAGTGGGCTGGCGTTAAATAGTATGTTTCGCTCTACCTTGCCTTACAGGGGGACACCGAAAGCGCAGTGGAAGAGGTGTTGGCGATCATTGACACTCGGATAACGTCGTCCCTTTGCGCCAAGGACGACGTGGCACAGCAACCGCTGTTTAAAATTACAAATTTTACAGTATACTGACGAACATGGGCATGTATGCGCCTTTGACGGAGGCCTGATCGAAGCCGACGTGACGCTGTACCTTAGCGGCCACATCAAAAGTATTTGCGCGGACGACCCCGGACTGCAAGACAGTGTGGCTGTCGCAAGGGCGGGTCCCGTCGTCAGCTGGTGGACGACGGGCTTACGACGGAGGCGTCAACGTCGTCCTGGGCTTAGGCACGGCGTACGCCGAATACGTTCTGATGAAGCCCAGTGATCAGTACGAGCCCTACATGAAGCGAATGGGCGAGAAGATGTATCTTCTCAGGGGAGTCCTGGAGAAGCTAATTGAGAGCAGCGGCGACGCCAGTTTTGACGAAGTCGTGCATCACCTTGAAACCCTGGAGGGCCTACCGATCGACGTGGGACCACTGACGCTCGAGACTCTGCACCAGTACTCGCAATTCGTGGTGGACCAGGTTCAGGCGTACGACTTGGCAGACGACGCCGACGATGGCACGCTGCTACTGGATAGCGCCTTCATCTGTGATCTTATCCGCATCACCGGCGCTGTCATCAGGAACGTGCCCAAATGGAGGTCGTTACCAACCGTCGAACACAGGGAGGCCAAGAAGCCGAAGTCGCCGTTCGTGATGCCCGCAGTGTGCAAGACGCTGGAAGAGCTCTGCAAGGCCGCCAGCAGTACTCCGAAGAGGTTGGTGCCCGCGAGGAAGAACAGATGTGGATTGTGCGAAGCCTGTCTGGCGTCCGAGTGCAAGGTGTGTGTGTTTTGCCTCAATATGAAGAAGTATGGAGGACCGGGCACGTTCAAGCAGTGCTGCGTTCGTAGACGGTGCCAGCAGAGGCATCTCCTGGACAGTGTTGACTGCACGGGCACTGACTCTATGGACCAAGAAGTCTCGACGCTTCCCGATGAACCCTTCGCGCAGAGGGAATTCGTCAAAAGATATGGCATCGATGTTGTCTGGACCGGAGAATCTCTAGGGACGAGCGAGGGCAAGACTTTCTACCAGTGCTGCAGTATAGGAAGCGATCTGAACGTGACTGTTGGAGAGGGCGTGATTGTTCTTTCAACTCTGCTGGATATCAAGTGTTACATTGGCCGTGTGACGCAGCTCTACGCTGACAAGGAAGGGAAGAAGTTTGCTCATGTCATCTGGTTCAGACGTTACGAGGAGACCATATTTGGCAGTTACTTCTTCGGTGTTAGTGGCGAGCTTTTCTCGACGACGGAATGTGATGAAGTGCCCTTGGAAGCCATAAGAAACGTCTGTAGCATCGTTTTCCATGGAAAAGACGGTGCCCACGTAGACATCGCGCGATTGAAAGGGTCCACGTTCTTCTACAGGTTCCAGTGCCACGTGAAGACGTGCACATTCACCGAGGCGAATGCCGAATGCCCGAGTTGCCTGTGTGCTCAGCAGCAAAAGTGCGCGAAGACGCTCGCGTACCTTCCGAATATAAACAGCGATTGCTTTTTCGTGAAACCCAGTGCCATTCGTGTGCCGCTGAGGCCGAAGCTAAGTGAGACAACGCAGGAAGATAGTGTTGTGCCGGTACTGTCGGGCAACAAGTTTACCGAAAGTTACAGGAAAATTCTGCGCCCCCCACATATAGAGGACTGCAACTCACCAGACCCGTATCGCATCTGCTGCATTGTATCCAAAGGACCGAAAGGGAAGACGAGGCGGACAAATGGAGATTCGACTTTGCTTGTGCAGCCATTCTACAGAGATTACGAAGTCACCGAAGGCTCCAAAGACAAGCTTCACCTCTGCCTTTCGCCGAAGTCCTTCTCTATCGAACTGACAGATGTCGTAGCTCCGTGCGAAGTGGTATACAGAGTTGGCGGCTCCCTGGGCACATGTTTTGACACCGTACGTCCTCCCTTCTACTTCTCGCAGTGCTACGATGCGGAAGAGAACACATACTCGGAGCCAACTGCCGAGGCGAAGCAGATCGGCCTCCATCTCGTCTCCTGTTCCCCCCCGCCGGACACCCTCAAAGCCATCGACGTGTACTGCGGTTGCGGCGGTCTCTCACTTGGTCTGCTGCAGTCGGGAGTGGCCGAGACCGTGCTCGCACTGAGCGACAACGAGCACCACCTGAACACTTTCAGGATGAACTTCCCGTTCGTGTGTGCACCTCGTTCGTGCCCTTCAAATGTGCTTAGAGGCCTACAGTCGGGCAAGGCGAGTCTTGAGCTGTCAGTTTTCAAGAGAGGTGAAATTCACCTGGTCTGCGGAACCCCGTCGTTCGAGTCGTCGAAGTGTAGCGACGGCCTGCCGCTGTCGAACTCCCAGCTGGCCACGTTCCTAGGATTTTGCGAGTTCTACGACCCACAATACGTCGTCCTCGTGGCCGAGAGGCGTGCGGTGAAGTACAACAATGGTTCCGGACTTGTCATTGCGCTGAAGTGCCTTTTGGACCTCGGCTACCAGACGTCCTGCAGCATTCTCCAGGACGGCTGCTACGGAATACCGCAGAGACATCGGCGGCTCGTCATTTTTGGCGCCAAGAGGGGACTCGCGAAGCTGCCTGCTTTCCCACCGGTCACTCACGCTTTCGACATCCCGGAAAGACACCTGACCTTCTCCTTTGACGGGCGCGCCTACACTAGTCCTCTGGCGGCCACGTCGGCCGCGCCGTACCCGAGGACTACGCTGAGGGACGCCATCGGAGACCTCGCACGTGACGGCGGAGCAGGGCCCGTTACGGATTTCATGCGGTTCTGCGGGAGACGTGGTGCGCCGAGCGACTCCGATTGCTTCAAGCGGATGAATCCTATGGCCCAAGCGAGGATAGAACTCGTTCCCAGAACTCGCGGATCGGACTGGCGTGACTTGCCCAACGTGGAGGTCCAGCTGAGTGACGGCACGACCGCGAAGCGCCTCGTATACACGCACAAGTGCGCCTCGAGCCCGTACAGGCACCAGCGAGGCGTATGCGCGTGCGCCGAGGACAGTACGACTCCGTGCGACCCCAGGTATCGCCAGGAGAACACGCTCATCCCTTGGAGCCTTGTGCACACGGCCCACCGCAGCGGCCAGTGGAGTGGCGTCTACGGTCGGCTCCAGTGGGACGGCTACCTGCACAGGCGTCGTGGCCAACCCCGAACCGCTGAGCAAGCAGGGTCCGGTCATTCACCCCGAAGAGGACAGGGTTATCAGCGTGCGCGAGTGTGCTCGGATTCAGGGCTACCCGGACGACTTCGTGTTCTTGGGTCCAACTCTGGAGCGGTACAAGATGATCGCCATGAGCGTGGCTCCTCTTCTGGCGATCGCTATCGGCAGAGAGTTAGCCAAGACGCTGCATTAAATGAGCACTTTGACTGATTGGAATGTTGGTCAAAAAAACCACAACAACATTCCATTCGAAAGGAGATGTGCATGACATGCAACTGTGATTAGTTCTTGGCAATCTTTGTACCCGAGAGATCTGCCAGTGTTTCTCGCTGTTTATTGTCGTTTCAATTGTAGCACTACCGATAAGATTTCGGCAGCTGTGATAAACAGATAGCATACATGTGTACCCTACTTTAGTTTAAGGTGTTTGCGCAGTTCATGCAGAGCATAACGCCTAGCGGAACGTTGCTTTTGATATAGTTGTTTGCGCTGTTTTTTTTTTAATCAGCAGTTTGCAATTGTTTGTAAATTGCGCTCGCGAAGTTCAAATCTGCAATTTTTCTTCTCTTCTTTAAACTAGAGCCGATGGTTATTCCCTGCCCCTTGTGAATCCGGTGCCATTGTTCTTGACGGGTAAGTTGTAGTGTTTACACGAGTAGCGGGACGGAGATTTCGAAAGCATATCAGCGCAGTGTTGCCATAATATGCCGCCTGTTTCTATATGACAACCTCGTTTCAGCTACACTGGTTCTGTTATTAGTACAAACCACCCAGTGTGTGCTACATATTTAGGGCTTTTCGCTGTGATCTGTATCATGTGAACTACTATTACGTTTCCGCGAAAAAATTCTCATTATTAGCTGTTACAACGACAGGACACGGGTCTCATTAAGTCGCGCTGTTGCTGTCAGAGGTTTAGCCGTCGGGCACGGGTCAGGCCTCATAGAATTCATTATAGGCCTATTGTTGACCAAGTGTTTAACGTACCTGTTTTTTTTCATAGAAGCTACATAGTTTTTCAGCTTTGCTCAGCTGTGATATTGTCATTCTTTACAATTTATTTTTTTCTCACTATGTGATGTCTACGTTGTTGTTCGGGTAGTTACGTTCAATAGAATAAATTCAACTGATAGCATGCTTTATTTTTTTAAAACTGAACTAAGAGATTGCTGTTCAGGCCCCTAATTACCGGAAAACGAAAAAAAAAAGTGCTTGACGATACATAATAAACAGAGTTCAGGAACCGTACATATATGCTACCTTTCGAACGGCACTGTCACAAGGTGGATATCTTTCGTTAGCTTTCGGTATAAGTATTACCGCAGAATAAACTTTTCGTATTAACCAGTGTTCATTGCTGCCTCGTTGCAATGACTTCTAGTCATGTATGTACCGTAATTCATAGACAGTATTTTATGTTTTTGGGAAGACCAAGGGTGTCAACGTTTTGTATTTACTATGACGTTTCGTAAATAAAGTTCGTCATTTTGAAAGTTTGTCCTATTCTCCTCCTAATGTCCGCTGGGTACATTGGTCGCTGGTAACATTTGCGACTTCAGCGGTTTCATTATTAGAGGGTCACTAAACAATTTTAACAATTATCAGTGTATGCGCGACAATATGCGTAGGCATTAATCATATTATCCAACTCACTGGTTGGTGAGTCGAGCGATATCTAAGTGATACTCAACCCGAAGGTCACCGTTTTTTTCTTATTGATATGTGGGTTTAACGTCCCAAAACCACCATATGATTATGAGAGATGCCGTAGTGGAGGGCTCCGGAAATTTCGACCAGCTGGGGTTTTTTAACGTGCACCCAAATCTGAGCATATCCGCCTCCATCGGAAATGCAGCCGCCGCAGCCGGTATTCGATCCCGCGACCTGCGGGTCAGCAGCCGAGTAGCTTAGCCACTAGACCACCGCGGCGGGGCGGTCACCTTTTTTATTATCTGCGTCAAGTATGCCATTATGAAATTTATGAAATGACTAAACGCTTTTAGTGGGCTCTTCCTTCATATGGTTGTTCACATGGACTTGCGCATAATATGGGCTGGGGGCACACTAGCCACCTGTGCGATGGAGGCGGAAATGTCGTAGGCCCGTGTGCTCAGATTTGGGTGCACGTTAAAGAACCCCAGGTGGTCGAAGTCTCCGGAGCCCTCCACTACGGCGCCTCTCATAATCATATAGTGGTTTCGGGATGTTAAATCCCACATATCAATCAAATCACTAGCCACCTGTGAGACGGGACGCAAAATAAGCCCAACACATTGATTTAATGGGTGGGGAGCACTTTGACGAACCTCCCTTCCTAACGGGGTACCCCGCGCATGCTTATTGTCACTGATAACGGGAATTTGCAGTGTGCACGATGCAAGTTGCGGCAGCTTCATGGGAAGCAGGAAAATACAACTTTCAGGGCGTGTTGCGATTGAGCCTCTGACGTAGATGCAGTCGCGTTGACTGCCACAGCACATCTCGCCTATACCGTCCACTAAAAGTTGAAGGCCTGCATTAGTGGCGTGTTATCTGAGATAATTTTCTAATTGCTCGGCAGATCGGAGGGTAGAGTCTGAGACTGAATGAGTGCCGAGGAGCAGTCTGAAGTTCGATTCTCCGATCGGGCGATTCGGCAATGTTTTCTTTTAAGGTGGCCTATTTTTGTACTGACGTCATGACGATAGTAAAGGGGCAAACCCGCGACACGTTATTTCCTTGACAGATCTGACGTCACATGATTTTGCCAAAACACATTGCCGGTAAGTTGAGCAAGTTTCCTTCGCATATAATCTCCTTAGGTTTGTATTCTCAAACCAACCTCTGCCTTACCTCGCGTTTTCTTCAACTTTCTGTACCGTCTACATGAGTTACAAAGAGACAAAAAAATGCCGCCATATCCACGAAGTGAATGATGATGAGTGGGCGAAGCTCCGGAGGTAAACCTGGTAAACCATGAATCCTCCATACATTTTGCCCACTCGATTTTATTGCAACGCTCCCCCTAGCGTACGTCGCCGCTTTTTATCTAACGATGACACGCGCCATATGTGGCATCATTCCTATTTTATAACACCTCGCATCTTTCATAATCAACTACACGTACCGCCGTCTAGTTTATAACATCTTGCATCTTTTGGACGGATGGACGGATGGATGGATGGATGGATGGATGGACGGACGGATGGATATGGCTGTACCCCTTAGATCGGGCGGTGGCTAGCGTAATACTTAGAACTGAACGAGAGGTGCCTACATACAGGGGACGCACTGCCCACGCCTTAAGGAGCTTCGCTCCTAAAAATGGTAACAGAGCGAAAGGTAAGGACAAGACTGGTTCATGTAGACTGGTACAATTTGTTTATCGTGTGCAATAAAGGTTTAAAACCAATAAGGAGAACTCGAGGAAAGTATGAGGTTGGTTTGTGAATACGGGCCTTAGATTCCCCTAAATCACACTCGACTGAGTGTCGCCTCGTTTGACCAAGTAGTTACCCGTTTGTTTCTCGCCTCAGTTGCTCCCCCCCCCCCCCCCAACTACTGCCTCTTGTCGAGTGTGCAGTAATCCATTCACAGGGTAATAAGATCTGTTTCAGTAGCGCGATCTCAGTGATTGCTGAGCTTAGAAGGGCACTAAAGAGCAAAACAATTTTTTCCCGTATCAGAACGGTACGATTTCACAATCCCGAAAACACCACTCTTGCTGCGACGTGACGCTTGGTAACGGAGAAAACGCGCCAAAAACAAAATGCGAGTGGAGACGCCACCGCGACAGAGTAAATTTCGAAGGCATATACTGGGCTTCGCATAGTTTCTACTCGGTAAAAAGAAAGTACAATGTCATTAACGGGTGCCATAGACCTGGAACATACGAGGTTTGAAAGAAAAGGAAAATAGGAGAAAAGAACGGCAGGGAGGTTAACGAGCCTATAGGCAGCCGGTTTTCTACCCTGCGCATGGGAGGGGGATGAGGGAGATGAACGAGAGCGGAGAGGGAAGAGAGATAAACACAGCACAATCGGCAGCACACGCGCGCACACTCATTCAGTGTGCAGTCTTGTCTTTCGCGGTGTATGGCATTGCTGTTACAGCCGCTTGTTCAAGTCCGTGTCGCGTAGGAATTTAAACAGAGCTTCTGTCGCCTTCTGTTGAGAAAATTTTCATCGAGCCAAAGCCGCGAAAATACGAGAAATACATTTGAAATTCGATACGTCACGCGCGGAGATGTCGGCTCGGAATTTCAAAATGAAACTTTCAACCTTGATTTCCTACGGTAATAATGAACTTACTAATGTGAAACCTATGGAATTGAAGTTTTCAGGGTGCAGTTTATCGAACTAAACCGAGTCATTCTTCCTCTTTAGTGTCCCTTTAAAAAAAAGCTCGCGTCGACCCACGGCACTAAGTAGAGTGAATCGTCACTGTTAAAAATCTCTGTTCCCACACCACTCGCCGATGCGGGGAAGCTCCTTGCTTCGTGTGGGCATGAAGTGCGAACTTTTTATATATTTTTGTTATGTTTCAGGCGGCCCACCGTTCGAACTAATTTTCTTAGTCGTCGTCTTCTTGCACCGTGCGTGCATCTGTTCGCAACATCAGCGTGGCTTGTATACAAACTTCATTCGTTAGTTTCGGTCGCGTGGTTTTGGTATAGTTCACGCACCACGTCTGGCGTGATTCTTACGAAAGTGCGCCCGGTGGCAGCAGCCTCTCCGATTCGTGCAAATTGAGCGACGGCATTGCGGAGATTCTTCGCCCCTCCTGGAAACGCATCTGCTTCGACGCGCCCACACTGCAGGCTCGGGCGGCCGATTTCGCGCGGCGCCCACGACAGATGGCGGAGAGCAATTTCTCGTTGCCGAAACGTCCGCGTATACGCCGTACAGATCGCGTGTTTCGTCATTCGCTGTGCGCACCTTCGATTCCCATTGTTTTTCAAGGCTACGCAATGCCGCGGATGTTGCTTTTCATTACCCGCGTTTTCGAGCATTCGCTCGCTGCGTCGTGGCAGATGGGTGGTGCGAGATTATCTGGACCGTGACGTGCTCGCACGGCAGGAAATAGCACCGTTTGTTTTGAAGGCGTCGTTCATTTTGTTTGTTTTTTATGGGGCAATCCTAACCGCCGGAAACTCGACGGGCTTGTCATGTTCACGGATTAGGGGAGTAACGACGGAAACATAAGCCGTTTACGCGTAATTTAACTGGTCGTTCACGTGCTCTCAGTTGGAT